ACACCGTATTTGCAACACACTTGATCCCCTCCTTTGCATGATGATGATCCAAGGGATGTACATGCGGTTGCACCTAATTCTGGTGCACCGCAAAGCACCTGATCGGCCTGCATCCCTGCCGGCACAGCCTTTCGGCCGCCGGAAAAACGCCAGAATTTCCAGAAAAAATTTAAAAAATTCCCAGAAATTATTATTAGGCACAAAAAATTCCAGAAAAATTCTAAAAATTTCCAGAAAATTCCTGAAGCCAAATTAAACCCTCTTGGACCTTCATAAAGCTTCATAACATCCTTTGATGAATATTACATGACTTTAAAAAAAAATATACAATTTGAAATACAATGTAAAAATTAAATTATATCATTGAATTTTCAAATAGTTAAATCAAAGCCTTAATTACATTCATCCAAAGATAAAATTACAGTCAATTAACCTATAAGCTTCATCCATGACCCAAACACACATTATCATCCATTCATAATTATACATACATCATCATGTTTCAGTATATATCAATATATTAATTCATACATCAACATACATCAATAAATAAATATATGCATATCAAAATTGGATCCATGAATGATGAATTTTGATAAAAACATAATCTCTAGTAATGAATCAAACCATGCTCTGATACCATTGTTCAGAAACGTGCTAGTTTTAAAACTTTTTGAGGGATTTTCATTCACGGATCTTGATTCATCACATAGAGACAAGTTTTATGCAAAAATAAAATATGATGTGTCATTCAATTAACAGATTGAATACTTACATCAAAGGTCTGAGTAAACCTTTAAAACTTTCATCTAAAATGAATGTTCTCACTTATTGTAGATCCTTTAGTAAGATGCCTTCTCCTTGAATTTCCATCTTCTTGGTAATTATTTTGCCTTTAAGAATCACTCATAAGTCTCCATGAATGACATTGAAAAACTAGGCTTGTGGGAGCCTTCATTAGATGAGAATATTAACCCTAATTTTCTAGAGAGAGAAAATATATTCATTTTTCATTCTTCCAAAAATCACCCATAAAATATACATCGACCATGTATATTTATAGGCAACATAAAGATAAAGAAAAAGAAATAACAAATCCTTTTCAATCTCTAATTCACATGTTTTAAATCTAATAGGATTCCAATATCAAGTTGGGCTATGAGTGAGAATCCTTTGGGCTTATTATTTTATTGGCTACAATGAATTAATAATTGGCCCGGTCCATGGACCCAATTCAATTAATTCATTAATTAATTTCTACTCCACTAAAAGAAATTAATTGAACTCCAATTAAATAATAAATAACTTCTAAGTCAATGTTGCATTTTGATCTCTATGCATAATTGGTTATCGGATAAATAAAGCCATCAATCCGACTACTTAATTAATATATTTATTTTGGTACCATTGATTATTTCTGACTCGATCACAATAAAATATTTGTTTGACAAAAATAATAATTTAAATAAATAAATATATAATAAATCATTTTGTCTAAAAATATACGAAGACCTTCCATAATCAATACAAAATAAATACAAGTAGCAATGATGCAAATATTGAAAATATAACCCTCTAACTATTAATTACATAAGCACCCAAAGTGTCGGTCTAAGGATCCCGAAGTATCTGCCGAACAAATCAAAGTAATTATTAATTAATAAAAGAGTTTATATTTTTCTCATGCTTAAGAGTCAAATGCCATGACAGTGATAGGGAGTAATTGTATACGATTGCTCTCGCAATATATCTCAACCTAGCGCGGATTCAGTTCAAGTCTTAATTAATTATGAGTCCATCCATAATTACCGACTATGAACAATTTATGATTACTATTTATATTCATGTATTGATCGCCATCACATACATATATAAATATCTCTTGTAATCAAGTGGACACTATCAATTCTATAATGAATCGAAACATAATACATTGAATTCACCAATTGTATCAAGCATAAATATTTCAGAAACGTCAGGAACATCTGTTACTATAATCCAAATAGGAATTTGCTATGCCAGGGCATATAAATCCCAACAGTTGCTACCTCTGCCGTCAGTGGTGGTTATGCTGCCGCCCTTTGGTGGCGGCCGATTGTGAGGAGGTGGCGGCTGATTGTGAGGAGGTGGCGGCCGATTGTGGGGAGGTCGATCCAGAAGTAAGAAACAAGGAGAGAGAGAGAGTTGTGACCATAGTGTTCTTGCTGTTCATTTTTCAATCAGAAAATTCTTAATCTCCTAGAATTATCTAAATTTGATTACTCAATTCAAAAATCTTGCAATCTACAACCTTCTTCCATCTTTTTATAAATAAGTCCCGAACTTAGAAAAGATGGAAATAAGGAGAGAGATTAAGAAAGTGCTAGAGAGAGAAAGTTGAATGAGTGCTCTTGCTGTTCATATTTCGACAAGGATGGAAAACGGTTAGAGAGAAAGAGAAAGAAAGGGGTGAAAAACGTTTTGACCCGCACAAATGGGTATTACCCATATTTTTATTATTTTTTACTTCTGGACACTTGTCAGCATGGAGGGTCGCCATGTCAGCCGAGAGGATGAAGCTCATCCCCCGCGCAGGATGCAAGTATTACTCAAGATTTTTTTGTTACAAATATATAAAAAAACAATTTTATTCCTAATTTTTTAATTTCATTTATTTTCAAATATCATATTACTTAAATAACCACTATACCCCTTATTATTACATCCACATGCCACCACAACTCACATACCCCCACCGAAAAAGAGCTCGCCAGAAAATGAGGTCACTGACAGCGAAGAGGTTCACGGGAGTGGCGCGTGACGAGGCACACACGATAAGAGGCTTGCCTCTTAGAAACTCTCTGGTCGGCGCCCTCACCCTCCGGCCGAGCTGCTTAAGAAAGAGCCCTTGCCCTCACCGCCGGATCCACCTTTGAGGAAAATGTGGAATATCCTCTTTATCTAATCGAATAAACTTAGAGTACCATTGAAGGACGGCCAGAGGATCACGTCGGCGATGGATATTCACGGTCCCTGTTGGTGACTTGCAGGAAGTTGTCGACGATGAGGCGGTGAACTGCAGATGGTGTTTGGGGAGAGGCGATAGTAGATAGAGACGACAACAGCGGGGCCCTTGAGGGCGAAGCGGCAACAGATGGCGTCGTAGGCCTTGGTGTCGACGCTAAGCTATGTGAATCTGGCACCGTGGAATAAGACAATCATGGGAAAGAGGTCACCGGATGGTGGGGGTTTGGTGGGAAGGAAGACGACGAACCAAAGATTGCGCTTCCAGACCACAACTGCCTCATCGAGGGCTGTGACGCCTTTGTCCTCGTCTTATCCACTTCCTTCAACAAGACCGAGCGCTACGCCGACATCAATCTCTCCCTCCCCGGTGACTCGTTCAACGTCATTGTCTGCGCCAAGACCGCCCTCGAGCTCGCTTGCCCCTGTCGTCGTCTCTTGCGTTGCCCCGCCGCCGTCTCCTGCGCCGATATCCTCGCTGGTGTTGGTGGTGGTGGTGGTGTACTTGTGTGTGTGTATATATATATATATGTCTGTGTGTGTGTGTGTGTGTATATATATATATATATATATATAAAACCACCACCATAATTTGTAAATTTACAAAAATATTAGGGATATTTTAGTCTTTTAATCTAATTCTTTAGGCTAAAGAGTTATTTTGACAAAATTAAAGGGTATTTAAGTCATTTTACATGTGTCATAACTGTTCAAGTAACTATTAGGGTGTGATTGAGAAATAAAACAAAAGTTCATAAAATGAGTAATAGTTATTTTCGAAAGATATTTGAGGGTAAAATATAACCAAATCTGAGGGGTATCGGTTGAAATTAACCCAAATTTAATCACAGTAAGAGTTAGAGCACTTATGAAATTGGATATGTTCCTCCACAGAGCAAGCTCTCAACCAAATCAATTAGCAACCTTCCATGATCGGCAAGCTCTCAATCAAAACATCCATTCTCTTAACAATTTTTATTTTATTTTATTTTATTTTTCTGGGGATTGGGTTTTGTGATCAATAGGATTTTTTATTACAAAAGTTATGTGAATTTATTTATTATTATATTTATTTATTTATTTTTGTTACATGAGAAAATCATTACTTTTTACTTGGGAGAGCTGAAAAAATAGGACCTTTTTTTTTAAAAATAGTTGTGGTGCCAAAATGATGGCCTTTTTTACATTGCTTATTTTTGTGGCAGCGATAATATTTTACTTTACATAATTCAAGTCACATAAAGTGGGAGCGGGAGCGAGAGCGAGAATGTGCGGGAGTGGGAGCGAGAATGTGCGCGGAATGTGAGAGTGGCACCCGTTGAAAAGAATTATGTGACTTAGTTCATAATTAGTTACTGAAAAAATAAAATGTTTTAGTTTTCATATATGAACATCTGTTGTGGCAAAATCATGCCATTTAATACATCCTTTGTTTTGTGGCAAACACAAGATTGTTGACGACCATGACTCTTTGGCGACGAGCACTCGGTAGAGGTGTATTTTATGTGGATAAAACAATCTTATTTGTGGTTAAATTGTGTTATGAACTATATTTAATTTGCAAATTTTAACCAAAATCTCTTTGCTGTAAAAGGTAATTTGTTTGAAAATAATGTAAAAACACCTTGTGCCCAAATGATATGAAATAACATAAATTTGTCTAAATCAACCCAAATAATAGCCCATTACAGAGCTAGGCGCTCTGATTTTTCCTCCCAAATGAAACACTATGACCAAAACAGAAAAAAATCAGTGTTCTTAAGATTAAACTTTCGTTGGTTAGGATCATCTCTACAAAAGTGAAAAAGAAAAGAGAATGAAAATGGAAAGAAACAATTTTGTCATATTTTCTTTCATAGCTTAAATAAGATTAACCAAAAAACAGAAGGGAAATTAAATATTTCTCTCTTACTTTGCCTCATATTTTCTTTTCCTATAATAACCAAAAAAATAAAAAGTAGAAAGAAAAGTTAAGATAATGGGAAGACAACATCAAGTAAAATTTGAAAGCTACACAATTTGTTAGAACTGGTGAGGAAAATAAAAATTAGTACAATTACATAAGGGAATTACACAAGTATTTTTGAGCTACTGCATGGAGGAGAGTATGGAACATATAGTTTGTATAATAGTAAGTCCAATCAGGATAACTGCAGCGCTAGTAGAAGCCGATCTCCATGGAGTGCTGAAATAATCGCGTTTAAATGTCATCTTCCACTTGTTGCTCCGATCGCTGCAATATTGATTCAGTTTTTCACTTATACCACAAAAGTAATAGTTGGGACCCCACAGAGACACTTCGTTGGGAAAATTATTAAAAAGAGCTGCCACTGTAGTGCTATCGCCTATGTAGTTCTCAAAAATCCCACTTTGGATGAGTATATCCGCATCTTTAGCAGTGTCAATTAGGCTGTCCATGAAATGAATATAATCAATAAAGTAACTATCATATGGATAGTAAAATTGCTCCAGTACTGTGAGGTTTCTAAGTAAAGGTTCTGTCCAATTAGATAAGATCAACTGTGGGATTTCCAATCGTGTCATGACATGCCTTATATCAAGCAAGCAATTGCTTGGCCCCTTCTTAAACTTTATTCCTGCATCCCGGAGCGTTCTTGCATTACGTATCGGCACATAGTTGACACTATTTGAAGGTGCGGACCTTAGAGATGACGGTAAATGACATAACCTTAGCAAATCAACAAAATGCTTCACTTCACGACTTGAAAATGATTGTTTGATGTCTCTCACAATACCGAAAAAAGCAAAGTATATGATGGAGAGCATGAGGAAGGAATACTCTGGTTGAGTACTAACGCTGATGGCTGGGAAGGCTAGGTTGAAGAGGCCTTCGAGAACAAAAAAGGGAAGTTGATTTTCAATTAAGATCACGTCGTTGCATAGATCATTTATCCGAATTTGCCTATCCAAGTAATCCATTGATTCTCCCGGAGTGTGATTGAATAAGAACCTCCACATGACCTCAATGATGAAACTACTATCCAGAAGAATCATTTTCACAAATTCATCACTGTCCAGCTCACTGCTTTCTTCATAATAACTCCGGGATCTCTCTTCCCACTCCTTCACCACTCGGATACAACTCTCCAAATTCACACGATCAGTATGATTAAGGAACGACTGCAAGTATCTCGGTTTATGTCGTTCCATTTCTTGCAAGTGTTCTTCGCCATGATGAAGGGGGCCGATGGAAACCACCTGAGGTGTGTAAGCCTTTTCATTTGTTTCGCGAATTCTCTTGGGAACTCTGAAGATACAACAATCATTTGATATCGGAGGCAGGTCATCTATCATTTCTCTAATGGAATTAAACAGCGGGATGTCAGGATCATCATCAATATATATATCACCAGTTGAAACATAGTCTTCTCTCTCAATCTCATGGCTAGCTCTTCTTGTATTGTCCCCTCTTTCCATGTTGTGTTTTGCTAGTGCACTAATACAATACATATATAAGAGCAATGAAGACACATCACATTAGGAGCCTAGTAGTGACTTGAAGTCACCATGAAACACTAATTACTGTACAATACATCTTCAAGTGAGGTAGTCAATTTCATTATTAGTACTAAAGTCAGCAGACTGCAGCTTAGGGTACCTCGGCTTCCAAAGTAGAAGATCGGGGAAGTTAAAGTCATTCCAAGGATAAATAGGTGTGTGTGTGTGTGTTTCTTTTATGTTTTTTCATCGGATAGTCATATTTGGCATTTTCATAAGGTTGCAGAACTCAAGATGCGGAACATTCTTAAAAAAATTGTTGTGCTTTCTTAATTCGACGAATAATTAATGGTTTTCAAGATGATAAAGTACTAATATAATATCATATAAGTACAATTGAGAAGGATTAAGAATTGAAAAAGAATTGGATCCACTCACACACATGTTAATTCTACCAGAAACTGGAAATAAAAAAAGAAATTAAAGAATTGGAACCCCCCATATGTTAATTCCAACAGAAAATGTAAATAAAAAAAAACAAACTAACATTCATCTTTCTGTATAATTATTTTATTAAATTAGCAGAATATTCTCTCATAGATAAAAGGTACAAAACTATGCAAACATAAAGAAAGAAACTGCAACATGAAGAGAGAGAGAGAGAGAGAGAGAGATGGAACCTGTTTCGTGACCACAGAGCAAGGTGATTGAAGAATGATGAGAAGAAAACAGCAGGTGAACTCAGCTCTCTTGAAATACACAGATACTATAGCCGACAGTTTGAGATACCAATAATATACTGCTACAGAGCACAAAAATGAGTGGCCATGCTAACAATGAACAGTTATCATTGATCTCCCACTTAAATTTCTATTTTTTTAATGTTATTTTGTACATGTATTTTTCCTTAATTCTAACGTTATCCCCATCTCAAAAAATCTCAATAACTCCGCTTTACTACCAAACAAATATAAAATATAAAAATATGAAAATATCTGTTCACTCTCAAATCCCGTGTTTCTACTGCACTATGCTTCTCTCTCTTTCACACTGTCAATCTCTCTCCAACCAAAAAGTGCGAGGAGGAAGGGTTTTCAAAATTACTATCATGGTTCTACCGACCTGTCTTGTTTGGTGGACAATGCCAAAGTTATGTGTATTACAGCTGTTCAGCTGGTGGAGAAAAAGACAGCAAATTATTATTTTAGTGCGTGATTGAGGATTCAGGAAGCAAACATTATATATATATATATATATATATATCTTTTGGCTATAGTGACTACACGTCACTAGGAATATGATATAGTACAAAGTATTCTGCAATACGTTCAAGGAAAAAAGTCCATTTAGTTAGACTACGCTTATGACTCTTCATTGGATTAGTAATACTTGGTATTTTGAATTTTTCATCAGGTTGCAGGGCTCAAGATGGAGAATAGTCTAAAAGAATCTTAATGAATAATAGTTTTCCATAGACGAAAATATGTAATTAAAACTAATATATGATGTAAACATCGATCGAATTCGTGGGATGAACCGTAATTCATCAAATAGAAGAAGTAGAATGTTAATCGGCCAAGAATGGTTGTTTATCCAAAATCACCTTACGTGCAAGGGCATGTTAATTTGGCTGGACAAAATGATAAGGACGTGTTTGTCTGGACAGCAATTTGATTAATTGGAGGAATGAAAAAATGAATAGAAAGAAGAGGAGGGATATAACCCGAGGAAGAAAAATGTGTCTACATCCCTTCCTTCCGATCAAGAGGGAGACACATTTTTATATATAATCAGAATTCAATTAGCAACCTTTTATGATGGGCAAGCTCTTTACATTGCCATGGAAAAATATTTTATTCTTGAACTATAAGAAAAAAATGAATCATCCCTTTTCTTAACAAAGCACTATCAAAACTTGGTAATATGCTCTCTTTCTTCTTCTTCTTCTTCTTCTTCTTCTTCTTTATTTATTTATTTATTTTTTTTATTTTTTATTTTTTTAACAAAGCACAATTAAAACTTGGTAATATGCTCTCTATTTTTTCATAGCATCAACAAGTTGACAACTTGAGTCTTTTGGTTTTGTGATCAATCACAAGCTGTTAGGATTGTTTATTAATAGAAGTTAGTTATTTAATTTTTTCGAACTTTTGTTTGGTGAGAAAGTCATACCTTTTTGCATGAGAGAGCTGGAAATTTTTTTATTTTTTTTTTCGGTCAGAAATAGTTGTTGTGCCAAAATGATCCTTTTTGACACTGCTTAATTTCGTTGTTGGGGGCAATATTTTACTTTTCATAATTAGTTTTACCAAAACAATAAAATATATTTTTTTATATGAACATTTGTTGTTGCAAAGTCATGCCTTTTAACTAAATCCTCTGTTTTGTGACAAACGCATGATTCTGGGCAACCATGACTTTTTGGTGACAAACTTTTGAACGAGGTGTATTTTATGTGGCTAAAACTATATTATTGGAAAGCTAAATTGCAACAACTTTGTAATGAACTATACTTAAATTTTAGCCACAATTTCTTGGTGGCAAAATTTAATTTGCTTGAAAATCATGTAAAACACATTGTGCCCAAATGATGTGTAACAACATAAATTTGTCTAAATCAACCCAAATAAAAGCCCCATTAAAGAGCTAGGTGCTCTGAATTTTCCTCCCAAATGAAATACTAATGCCAACATAAAAATACCAGCATTGTTCTTAAGATCAAATTCTGGTTGGTTAAGCTTGAAAGCTACACAATTTGTTAGAACTGGTGAGGGAAATTAAAACTAGTACAATGCATACCGGAATTACACAAGTATTTTTGAGCTAAAGGGAGAGTACGGAACACACAGTTTGTATAATAGTGAGTGCGATCAGGATAATTGCAGCGATAGTAGAAGCCGTTCTCCATGGAGTGCTGAAATAATCGCGTTTAAATGTCGCCTTCCACTTGTGCCTTGGATCCTTGCAATATCGATTCAGTTTTTCACTTATACCATAAAAGTAGTAGTTGGGTCCCCAAACAAGCACTTCGTTGGTGAAATTATTGAAGAGAGCCGCCACTGTAGTGCTGTCGCCTATATAGTTCTCAAAAATTCCATTTTGGATGAGTAAATCCGCATCTTTAGCAGTGTCAATCAGGTTGTCCATGAAATGAATATAATCAATTATGTAACTATCATATGGATAATAAAATTGCTCCAGTACCGTGAGGTTTCTGAGTAAAGGTTCTGTCCAATTAGATAAGATCAACTGTGGGATTTCCAGTACTTTCATGGCATGCTTTATATCAAGCAAGCAATTGCTTTTGCCCTTCTTAAACTTAATTCCTGCGTCGCGAAGCTCTGTTGCAGTACGTACTGGCAAATAGTTGACGCTATTTGAAGCTGTTGCCCTTAGATTTGATGGTAAGTGACATAACCTTAGCAGATCAACAAAATGCTTTACTCCAGTACTTGAAAATGACTGTTTGATGTCTCTCACAATACCAAAATTTGCAAAATAAATGATGGAAAGCATGAGGAAGGAAAATTCCGGTTGAGTACTAGTGCTGATGGCTGGGAAGGCTAGATTGAAGAGACCTTCGACAACAAAAAATGGAAGTTGATTTTCGATTAAGATCATGTCGTTGCATAGATCATTTATCCGAATTTGCCTATCTAAGTAATCCATTGGTTCTTCCAAAGTGTGATTAAATAAGAACCTCCACAAGACCTCAATGATGAAACTACTATCCAGAAGAATCATTTTCACAAAATCATCACTGTCGAGCTCACTGGTTTCTTCATAATAACTCCGGGATATCTGTTCCCACTCCTTTACCACTCTTATACAACTCTTCAAGTTCACGCGATCAGTGTGATTGAGGAATGACTGTAAGTATCTCGGTTTATGTCGTTCCATGGCTTGTAAGTGTTCTTCGCCATGATGAAGGGGACCAATGGAAACCACCTGAGGTGTGTAAGCCTTTTCGTTTGTTTCACGAATTCTCTTGGGAACTCTGAAGATACAACAATCATTTGATACTGGAGGCAGGTCATCTATCATCTCTCTAATGGAATTAAACAATGGGATGTCAGGATCTTCATGAATATCATCAGTTGAAGCATGGTCTTCCCTCTCAATCCCATGGCTCGCCCTTGTTCTATTGTTTCTTCTTTCCATGTTGTGTTTTGCTAGTGCACTAGTATATATATATATATATAAGAGCAATGAAGACACATTGCATTAGGAGCATAGTAGTGACTACAAGTAATAATGAAATTCTATTTACAGTATCAGAAAATTTAAGCTTAACAAACTACTGTTGAAAGTTCTAAGTGTAGAATATAGTTAGAGCTTGTTTTGAGTGACATTTTTAATGAATTTTTTTTTTTTTTTTGGTTATATCTGATTGGTAAGTGAACATGGTATGGTTTTAAAACAGAACAATGCATCAACAGATGGCAAAGTCCATAGTGAGTTTTCAAGAACAGATACACTAATGTTGATGAGTAACTATTAAAGTTAATTTTTATCCCAAATTTCAAAACCATAATTGGAATTTATAATTTTATCAATTAATGAAGTCAAATTCTTTAGAACCATATGGGGCTTATCTCATTTTTGCATTTGTGTCATTGTGTGGTCAGAGTTGCACCAACTAAATCCGCAGAGTGAAATGTTTTTCTTTCTTTTTTCTGGCTTCTTTGTTCAGGCATTTCACCAGAGGCTTCTTATTCAAGTACTTCTAATAATTCAATTAAGTCAGTTAGCCAACAGAATTTTATGGTGGTTGATTCACATTGTATCAATGGAACTAATGACTCAAGCTCAACTCAGTCCTATAGAGAGATGAGATCACTTGATGCGCGTAAAACGACAAGTATGGAGGAGTTATTGTTAACCCTAACAGATTACCGACCCATCCAGATGTTTTTGCCTCTATACTTCATTCATCTCTTTCTCACTGGAAAATAAATGTGATTTCTTGTTCTAAGTCCTAGTGATACTTCCTCAACTTTCAAAGTAGAAGTCGAGCGGGTTCAAGTCCACATTGGGACAAGTGGGGTGAGTGAGGTGTAAGTGTGTTTCTTGCCGTATTAAAAAAAATTTCATTATCAGTAACCATGTTTATGTTTCTTCATCGGATAGGATAGTCATATTTGGCATTTTCATAAGGTTGCAGAACTCAAGATGCAGAACATTCTTAAAAAAAACTACTGTGCTTTCTAAATTCCATGAATAATGGTTTTCCATAGATGAAAATCTGGAACTAAAAGTAATTAAATATAAGATGTAAACTTCGATTCCATATGTCTTCAAGATCAGCCTTCATCATATAATATGAGTACAATTGAGAAGGATTAAGAATTGGAACATCCCAAAGAAATTAAAAAAAGAAAAAGAAAAAAAGAAGAAAAGAATTGGAACCCCTTTATTAACAAATTAAAAAATTAATCTACACACACATATGTTAATTCCACCAGAAACTGTAGATCAAAATGAAATTAACATTCAACTTTCTTTACAATTGTTATGTTAAATTAGCAGAATATTCTCTCAGAGATCAAAAGTAGAAACTACGAAACTTAGATCAAAATGTAATGTTATTTTTGAAGGAAATTAAAACAGAAATTAAAAGAATGAAACTGCAACATGAAGAGAGAGAGAGAAAGATGGAACCTGTTTGGTGACCACAAAGCAAAATAACTGAAAAATGATGGGAAGAGAACTGAGCTCAGATCTGTTGAAATACAGAGATAGCAATGGCTCAAAAATGAGTGGCCATGCTAACAATGAACAGTCTAACTAAACCATCGTTGACTCGCCTTTGTTTGCTGTTACTTACATTGATATCCCACTTAACAAGATTAAGGACAACGTTAATAGAAAGCCTCTCCCTTATTGGACAATGTGTCGGGGAGAACAGCTGTTATGAAAGCGACTACAAATGACGAATTTGGGCCAATTGTGGTGGGTGTCGATCATGCCCTACAAAATATCTTTAAAGGCATCTCTTAAATTAACTTTTATTTTGGATCCAGAAGGTATTGGGTGCCCGCCGCACCTTAAATTGGCTTATCTCACTTGTACGTGTCGTGCGCGCACTACTCGAATGAACCAACGCACACGGATTATCTATTTCAAAAGTTGCCAAATTACTCAATGGCAACTTGAGATTCCATAATATAAAAACATAGTAGGTAAAATCGTCTTCTTCTCTTCTGATTGCTAATTAAAGCAAATTGTGTATATATATATATATATATATATATATATATATATATATATAAAGTGTGTAATTACGTGGGCCCAAGGACAAAAGAACCAAACAAGCCCAACCCAATCAATTGTTCAAACAAGCCCAACCCAACTTGGCAATTAGCCGGTGGCAGTTGGTCTTCAATTAGCCGTTAGTGTTAGTAGCTGTCTGCAGCACTTGGGTAACCCTCTGTATTGCCCATGAAGGCCAATAGCCTCAATTTACATCCTCCGGAGGACGTGGGGTGGGTCTCAAACAGGAAGGAGGTAAAATCCCATTCATGGAGACGTCATCACACTGTCTTTCAATTGGAGAGAGACAATCTTTCCTTTGACATCATCTAGGAGACTAGGATGAGATGAAGTACTTGTGATTGTGTAGAAATAGTTTCTTGAAAAAACCTTCATTGCGGTCAGTTCATCTGTGATAAATTTTGGCTCGGAAGGAGAGTATCGTTACAAGGAATTAATTCCCATTGCTCCAACGGTGAGGTGCCCAATTTACATAGGAGTTCCAGTTCAATTGCGCAATGTAGAAGCCACATTTAGACTAAGATTGGCACGACAAAAATATTGAATCTGTGTGTTTTCCCCCCTCAATCCTTTGAAAACCGCATAGAAAAAGTCTAATTTTCATAAAATACTTCTTTTTAATTATCTTTTTCGAGCTCTGTTCATAGAGAGCTAAACTATATAGGAAACGAATTATGTGGGTTATTGGGCATATAAGCAATAATGTGTAAATTTCTAATAAGAAAGTCTATCATCTTGGTGGAAGGGTTAAATTTTAAACATCTCCAAGAAAATAAAAGTATAAAATTGAAAGAGATAAACATGAATGCTAAGGGTAATGCAAATAAGATGATCTATCAATTTGGACTTTTGTTTAAAAATCAATCTTGTAGAATATCTGATTCCGTGGTCTCGAAATAATTTTGTCATGCCCCATCAAATTCTGACATGGAAACTTTCACACAACCCACAACTAAGGGTGACTACACACTCAGCCAAAATCAAATAATGACCCTCGAGAGGGTATTTGTCCACTATCACAAAGTCAACAGCATCCCCTATTTTTTATCCATCCATATTGGGGATGGAGGAATAAAGGGGTGACTCTACACTCACCAAAATCAAGAGCTTTTTCAATTGAGAAATGCTATGGACACTAATTGGTATTTTGTACCATTCTAATAAATGGTGTTTAAGAAGAATTCTTGTGTATATTGGATAAGTTATGGTCGATCTCTTTGTTTATGGTGTTAAACTCAATACTTATCACATCAATCGATCACAAGAACTATGATTTTTTTTATTTTTTATTATTTTTATTTTTTATTATTTTTCATGTTCAAATGCTCTGGGCTGTTTCATTGTTGTATAACGAAATCACATTTGGTGTTGTTTGAGCTTTGTTTACATAATTTGTTTCTATTTTTAGAGATATACAATCTTGATACAAACAACATTTATATAGCAGTGATTGAGAAGTGTGTGAAATGTTGTATTTGGATTTGTGATAGAGAAGAATGGATGTGGCGACCTATGTGGGCGGGTGTGAGACACTAGCGAAGTACTACACAAAGCCAGTTATAGGTTTTACAATTCCATCTCGTCTGGATAAGGTAACATACAAGAACAAAACCATACTGATTCGGACTTAAAATGGATAATATTATACTGTGGTGGAGTGTGTTGTTACAATGAATCCACTCTATTAGTTTTTCTTTTCATTTATTCTCAAGCCTCCATTCAATGGAAACGAAAACATGACGTCATGATCTTGTTTGAATTTAGTTAGTTGTTGAATAGTTATACTGTGACACATTTTTTTAGCATTGGTCTTGGAGATGCTTGAAAAGGATCCAAATCTAACTCTAGCCAATGTGAACACGAGGATAAATGTTTGGGTAAAAGAGTCTTATATGCAAGGGGCATGTTTGGCTGGACAAAATGATAAGGGTGTGTTTGTTTGGACAAAACATCAAAGCTTATTTAGTTAAACAAAGCCTATAGCATTAATTATTTGATGAGCTTCTCATTGTTTACATTGCGTCTCGCAATACTCCATATAATTTAGAGTATAAAGTAGTGAAAAGTAAGGGCTTGTTTGATTTGTAACTATTGAAACAGTTTTCTATTCTCGGAAAACTAAAAACAGAAAATTATACAAAAAATTCTGTTTGGTTCAATATTTTGAAAATTCAGTTATAAAAACATCTATTTTCAAAGAACAGTCATAGAAAGACAATGAACCCAAAGATGTAGAGGGCCCCGACGGAAAAAGCCTGCCCCGCTTCCGGCTTTTGTTTAGCTGCTCTGCTTGTCCCAAACCTCAGCTTTTCCCTCATTGTTTGGCTTAACTCACCCGCACTTGGGTGCATGCCCGAGTCATAATAGCTAGCCAAGTCAAGATTCATGCTATCCTTACAGCCAAGCCAGGATTCTCTTATAGTACATCTAGTTTTCACTCTCCTTTCCTTCGCCTAAAGATCCTTTTTCAGGTTCAATTGGATCAGCTGTTTTCGATTTCCTGTTACACCTTTTTTACTTCATTTTCCGAGGCCTTTTTGTTGTTCCGTGTCCCTTCAGTCAATCTCTCAATAGGTAGGTGTTCTTTTATAATTCTTTGAAAACTGTTCTCCATTTTCTGAGTTTTTGAGAGCTGTTTTCAGAATTACAAACCAAACATGCCCTAAGATTCTTTGATGGATTTACTTGTCTACAACATAAAACTGAAAACAGAAAACTGTATAAAAAATTTTGCTTGGTTCAGTTTTCTGAAAATTCAGTTATAAAAATGTCTATTTTTAGAGAGCAATCCATTATCTATTTTATGAGTTTCTAAGAATTGTTTTCAGAATTACAAACTAAACATGCTCTAAGCTTTTATGAAGATGCTTTGATGGTTTTACTTGTCTACAATTAAATAATTAATGGAAACGAAAACTTTTTGTATAATGGCATCAAACAAGTTGGCAACTTAATTGAGTGCTTTGGTTTTGTGATCAAACATAAGCTGTTAGGATTGTGTTTGCACCAAAAAAAATAAATTTTTTTTATTTAGACACATGGTGTTGTTTGATTGGAGGAGAAGATATATACCGTGTTATTAAATGGGTGCGATACCCCTCGGATCTGAGACACGGGTTGATTAGGCCCAGGCCCAAACCCAAGGGAATATCAAACAATTAAAGTATTTTAAAACGAACACAGAATAGAAATTTAAGAATTTAAATAAAGAAACCAAAAGAAATATAAAATCCTCCAAACGATAATAATAATAATACTCAAATCTTCCAAAATCTCTAAGAGTACAACTCGGGAATCCAACTAGTGGACCCCTAAATAAAATCCCAACTGAACTGAAAACTGGAAATAAATTAGGCTAGAATCATTAAGAAAAGTCTTACGTAAACAGATGAATGTGGACTGTCCTCGACAAGCACGATCAAGCTCTAAGGCTGGAATCGACTTGCACCTAAAAAGAATATTAGAAGAGTGGGTCAGGCTCACGAGCAAGTTCTAATCTAACTGCAATCCATACAGTGACCCGATACGCAGATACACCGTAGATACCTCACAATATCTATCTAGTCCATACATATATATATATCCACACTAAGGACATTCACTGGACTACAGTAGGAGTCTAAACCTGAATACAAGGCAACAGGCGAATACGCACCCAAAGGTGGGTATGAGTACCTAGACCTAACAGGGTACACCTCAAACTACTATAGCCAGCTACGCATCTACTGCATATACGCACCCTAACCAACGGTCTGAGACTCAAGCTCATCTCGTGGTATCATAGCCATATATTTAAAGTCCGTCCAACAGAGTATATCATTCAATAGTTCATTGAGCTGATATACAATACACAAACTAGTTAGTCACTCAACTTATTCAGTTGATATGACTTAACTATAAACCAATTAATCCAGGAAGCCATTCAACTTAGTCGCAGTTGATTTGACTTAGTTACAATTAGGATTCAATATTTTTCAACCCATTCCTTTAATCCATCAGGTTAGGTTTAGGCGTTTTGAGCTAAACCATCCCTAGTATGTCACCGTCCCATACCGGTGCATACAATCCTCTATATCCATATAAATTACAACATATATATAATTGTTTAGCAATTTACAGTCCAAAACCAATATCCAAATAATTGCAGAAAGACATTTAAAGGTTCAGCAATTTAAATCCAAAAGTTAAACCATGTATTGTTTAACAGTTCAACAACTAGCATCCAGAGCATGAATAGATCAGTTTTAATAAATCAACAACTCTATCATGCATATAAATAAGTTTTAAAATCATAATATTGTCCAAGAAATTGCTAAAATTAATTATAGCAATTCAGTTCCTTTTATCCATCAATAGCATGCTAGGTTACACCCTTGTATACTGTTTTATTATTTTAGCACCGAGCCATAAACCATGTTACAAGTCCAATTTGTTAATTAAAAGACTCCCTCATACATCTAAAATTTAATTTAGAATCATATTATAGCACCTTAAATTGTCAACTTAAAATTAGACAATTTAACTTCCTTCCAGCAGTTAACCGCGCACAAGTTGTTAAATAGCGC